GAATCGTAATTTTTTTTATTCCATAGAACTCTTAGTACATTTTTATAAACTCCTTCGTAATTTCAAGTTCCTGTGTCTTATAGATTTTAAGAAGCAAAGCAAAATGTAACGTAAAAAATCTGTTAAGCTTATAAACAAATATGATCCTTTCAACATGCCAAATTTTAAGTCTTTAAATGCATTCCGAGTATTTTTTTCCCCACAAGTTTAACAGTTAATAATTTTCGAACTAATTATCGATTGTTAATCTTTTTATTCCATCGTAATCCCTCTTCACTTTTATACACACCTTAGAAATTTCAAGTTTTTAAGTCTTATAGTTTTTTCACAAGGAAAAAAAATATGAAAATCTAAGTTCCCTAAACAGCGGCGTTGGCGGCTCTTACGATTTTTAATATCGAGAAAAAGTAAAAGTAACTCGTTAACAGTTTAGTAATTGTTAATCCGTCACTAAATATTTTTATTTTAAAATGTCTCTTAATTCATATCATGCCATTTTAATATAAAGAGACAACTTTTTCAGATTTAAGAATTTATTTTTGAATAACAATCAAAATTAGAAACGTAATAATAACGGAAAATAATAATAAGAGGGAATGATAAATAAGTATTGCTGATAAATACCGTTGATTAAGGGGAAAAAAATAAGAAACAGCTAAATACCGTTTTAATTTTTTAGTTTTACACTGATAGCAGCCAAAAATATCTGGATCTACTTTGTTTATTAATGAACTCATCATGTGATTTTTCTGTCCAATGGGAATGCACGGTATGATGACAATTTTCTTTTTATGATCGATAAAGAAAATATTTAATTTATATATTACAAAATGCGTGTATCTCTCATACCCTTTATTTATAACTGCGAAGCAATAAACTTGAAAAATGTAATTTATAACTTCTGTTTCATATGATATAAAAGCGAAAAATATTTTATTTTAAAAATAACTAAATAGTGTATTTCTTATCATAGTTGCTTCTGATAAAGTATTCGTTATTTAGTTAACTGAAATCTAAAAATTTACCTTATTTATTCTGTGATAAATTCCTTTTAAAAGCCTTTCGTTGTTATTATTAGATCAAATATTCATGAAACCTATTAATAATATTTTGTAAATAAGAATATAGTTTTTAAACTATTCTTGTATTATACTTATTATTAATTCAAATACTAATGAAACTCATTAACTAGTGGTAATAATAAATCTGCAAATGATGTTTAATCTTTCCAGTTTCGAATAGGAAAAAAAAAAATCAAAATCTTAGTTTGAAAGATGGTTTTTAGTATTATTGTTTATTTTCTATTATAAACGCTGTCTTTTTATAATTGTTATCTAAATAGTTGCATAATCTTTCATTATTATTAGCCCAAATAATAAACTAATATTTATTGTAGATGTAGTAGTAGTGAATATTATATATAACATTTTATATTTTTTTAAGTCTCGTATAAGTCTTTCATTAGTTATGAAACTAATGAAAAGTGTTAATCTGAAATATGTTTTTATTTTTATTTTCGCTTTTAAATATTATTTCACCACTTAATTTAGTGCAATCAAAAAAGCACATTATTTATTCTGCTATAAATTCCTTTTCGATTTTGTTATTGCCTTCCATTTTTAGTGTAAATAATAATGAAGCAAATTAGCAATAATTAGTAATAGTTGAGTAAGTATTAGTAATAGTTTATTATAATATAATATTAATAAGTTCATTCGAACATAGGTTTATTATAATATAATCAGTTGTATTAGTAATAGTTCAGTTTAATATGGAAAATAAAAATATCTAAAAGATGTTTTCACTGTTTATTTTTGTCTTAACTAAGTAAAGTATTTATTACTCAGATTAGCGATATCTAAACAGTGCTTCGTTTATTCAGTGATAAAAAAAAAATTTTTTTAAACCAATAATGGTTTTCATTCAAGCAATTATGAGATTTATTGATAATTATGAGTAGTAGATTCCTAAACGGTATTTTATCTTTTAAATTTCAAGTGTAAAAACAAAACACTTCATTTGAAAGACATTTTTATTGTTCGTTTAAATTGTCATAAATGTTTGCAATGAAATATTAGTTGGTTACTTTTGATTATCATAAGCTTTAAAATAATTAATTTCATTATTCAATTTTGTAGATTTTGTAAAAGAACAATTTGTGGAAAGCTTTTTTTAAAACTGTTTTCTATTAAAATTATGCTGAAATTTACGCTGCTCTTTTTTTCTTTTCAATTTTATATGAAAATCAAAAATATCTAGAAAGATGTTTTTACTGTTTATTTTTGTCATAACTAAGTAAAATGTTAGTTCTCAGATTAGCGAAATCTAAACAGTGCCTCTTGTATTCTGTGATAAAATCTTTTTGGAAACCAATAAAGGTTTTCATTCAAACAATTATGAGACTTACTGATAATTATGAGTATACTAGGTTTCTCAACGGTATTTTATCTTTTCAATTTCAAATGTAAAAACAAAATAGTTTTCTATTATAAGTTTCTTTATACTGTTTTTTTTTCTTCTTCTGACTGAAAAGATTTCCATCTTCTTTAGATAAGAAATCTGAAATTCTAACTTGTTATCTTGAAAATTATATTTATTACTTCACTGTTTCTCTTTCACTAACATCAGTTGAACTGAGTATCTATCTCATTTTTCTTTTATGCTGACTTTTAATACGCCGTAATAACAGATATCTGATTAAGTAAATATTTCATTATTATATACTTGAAGCGGAAAATAGTTATTTTATTCGAATTCTTATTATTTCCGCATGTATATTGAAATAGTTTATTTAAGCATGTTTTCGTAATACATTTTATGCTATGAAAGATAAATTTTATGTTTGCGGGGATTAAAGTGTCATTGTTCGTAAAAATGTTGAGAAAAGGCAAAATTATATTTCGCAGCTTTTAAGACATGTTTTGAATTCCTCTCTGAAATTTCACCATTTTTTTTTATTTGTCTATCGCCCAAAAGAGAAAAAAGGAAGGCTTAAAACATTATATCGGAGAGCCATTTTTTTTTCACTTAAAAAAAAAACTAGTGCTGTTAGGGATTTTTTCATTAGCTACCTCGAAACAGAACGGAGTAAAAGTTCGCTAAACTCTTTGTCAAAACAGATTTAGACCAAGTTTTAAAAAAAATGAAAAAGAAGAAGGAAATACTAATAACAATAAACAGCAGTGAAAAGTGAACTCCAAAAATCAGCAAAATATATCTTTACCATGCTTATATGTATCCAATTGATAAACATTTACCTTGTTCATAATCCACAACTTTTTCAACTAGCACAAAAAACGTGAAGTACTTGGCATCTATACATATTTTTTTTCTTATTCGAAGTCGGATTCGTTAAAGCTTCAAAAGTATTAAAAAATTCAAATTGTTAAAAAAGAAAATTGGTAATGAAATTTGTATGAAATCATTATAATCGTGTGAATATTTTATCGCATTGCTTAGGACCTATTGTGGGTCGGTCTACTCTCAAATGCATGATAAAAATAAGTAATTATTTTTTTCTCTAAGTGATGTAAATAATTTGTATAATTTTAATTTTAAAAAAATATCAGTGCTACTCTCTCCAACTTTGTAAAACTAAATTTATGACAAATTTTTTATCTTATTTAAACATTCTCGTGAATATCTGATGATGACATATGTTTAAATAGCTTGAGTGAAATACTGATATTGCATACCTACCTCTGTCATTCACTTACTATCGCATTCATGATATGCTTATTTTTATGATATGTATTTTAAAAACTACTAAAAATATAAAATTTAGGAAATATAAGGTAAAATTTACAGCTAAATTTTTAATTATTTCCATGCTATATGCATGAAATTTGTGCGAAGGAACGAATATCAATCTACTGTAATATCTTCATTGGCAGCTGCTTTATTGATAATTTTTTTCTCTATACGATGGAGGATTAATTTTCAAGAATTACTCTTATTACACCATAGGAGTCTGGAAAATCTTTATTTGAAAATTTTTTAAAAAAAATTTTTCCCAATGCCCCCTCCTGAGGAATGACCTACGTCATACAGGCATCTGACGAGCAGATTTGTTGGCCATTTTTCCAGGGGCACCATATTAGGTGTGTCAACGTTGCTCCTGTTGTAAGATAGTTCAGAGAATAAAAGAACATCCTTGCCTTGCCCGGGATTCAAACCCTGAACCTTTCTGATACATGGCCCGTTCTCTGACAACAGACCAGTTTGCTTATTTGAAAATTAATGCTTTAATATTATCCAGTACAAAATATTATAATTTCTATCTGGATTATAATAGTAAATTTAATCTTAACAAGAATTTCAACTTTAAAAAACTTTAAAAAAGCAAATATTTTATGTTTTTTATTTAAAAAATATAACTATAATATTCAGTGCAACAGTATAATTTCTATTTAAATTATAAGATTTAGGTAAATAAATTCATTATTGACAGAAATGGAAGAGAAAAGAAAAGTTAAGATTCTATGATTGAAACCGAACTTGCAACTTGTTGAAACCGAACAATGTTGAAGAAAAAAAAAGAATTAAAATACCAATAAGACATTACCGGTAGCTAAGAGCCATACCACAAACCAATCCTAACTAGTCAAATCGTGTTTAAAATATTACTTACTGTTCTCCGTTTCCTTTGCCCACTTTTCGTTTTCCTTGTTATATATATAAACCATCTGTCGCAAGTACTCATATTGCTTCTTAAAGTCTGTGGTTGTCTGCTACTATGAAAGACATTGAATTAAAACCATTTGGAAAAACTGTAGAAATCACATGACACTACTCCCAACTAAACCAATGCCAAAGCTCATTTTCCTATTCGAAGTGACTTATCACTGTAACCGCAAGGGCGCAAGTCTGGTATTTAGAGGTGTTCTCGGGATAGCCAGACAGTATAACTGTTATTTAACTTATTTATGTTTATGTTTCTATAGTTTTTAATCCAACTTTCAATATTTTTCTAACTGTTTTATTATTTTTCGTTTTTATAGGAAAGTGTGTCGCAACTGCAAGTGCCCTCGCGAAGAACACGAGGGGGCATCTGGAGTTACAAACATGGTGGAAAGCGAAAAGATTGTCCACAAAATGGCCGCCCATTTCGGGAATGGTCCAGTGTCACCCACTGATCGCCATTCCCATTCAGATGATGATTCTGGATGTGCTTTAGAGGAGTATACGTGGGTACCACCGGGATTAAAACCAGAGCAGGTCAGTTGTTCTTTTTCTTTGTTTTAAATGCATTTTACTTCTGTGTGATTGCTAATCTGAGCTGCCTTAACAATGCTTTACCTTGGTTGCTTTTTTGCAAAATTGTGCCAATATCTGGAACGATTATTCATTACAATAAGAGAAACAGTCGATTTTGTTCAAAAAACAGAAGTAAAATTATTTCCATCCAAAAATGTAAGTTTTCCTCTGAAGTTGTGAAGAATGCTGGAAAAGAAACAAACATAGCTGCTCGAAAGTACCTCGTAAATTTTAAAAATTTCATCTGAATACAATAATTAGAAGAAAATTGCTATCGTAGAACTGGCTCCTTTATTGGGCCAACTTCATTATTTTGCTGTTATTCGAAGCAGGTGACCCTGTTGACTGTTTTTGAAGTTAGAAAAATCACTATCTTGATCGTGAGTTGATATACGTACAAATGAATTTTGCAATTTTTATGTAATTTTTCAATGCAAACAAACAATGGATATCAGAGCGACTTTCGTGTTATTTTAAATGTAACTTATAACATTGAGAATTGTGTTTAATCAGCATTAACTGTATTAAATAGGATTGTTTACTTTGTTATAACAGAATTTGCTTATGTATTACCTGGCCATTGCTATTGCCTTCAATGAACTTGCCTCAGTCACTGTAAATAGACTAGTGACTAAATCACAGAAACATTAATGCAAGCTAATAGTTTGCATGTTGTACAAAAAAAAAATACCCTAGTACCTGATTTAGCAATAGCATATCAGGAGTAAGTAAGTATAATTTAGATAATAACAATTTAATTTATTCCCTCTAAATCGATTACGATCACTTTAAAAATTTCAAAACATTAGAAATCGCTTAAAAGAATGTTGTAATTATGCTCTCATGCTCAAGGCTATTATTTTTTGAAATTTTACTAACTTTCATGCAGGTAATAGTTCATTAAAAATTAAAATTGGTACCTGCTTATTCCTAGAAACTTCCTGGGCCAAGGTGATCGGGTTTCCGACATTTATTCAACTTTTTATAATCAAAACTTCTACGTTTAGCAAGGAAGTTAATTAACATTAGCATGTACAAAACTATAAATTTTCCAAATTTGATGCCAAAATCAACTGGAAAAAATAAGTGCCCCGACGACAGCAACCTTCCCTTGATAGTAAACACGTGATATTTAATAATCGTAAGTCTTTAAAAAAAAAATTTTTGAGTGAATTTCTTTATTGTTTATGTAATACATAAAGCTTAAATTGAGTCCAAGTGTGCATTTGTACCTATGTTTTGTCGTATTTCAGATCAAATTGTTAATATTTACTTAATTTTCCGACAACTCATTGCAATCAAAGCCAACTCCAATTGTTAATTTTTTTTGCAATGAATTTCCTTTTTTAGCCTTAATTTCATGAGCTTTACTGACATACTTACTGTTAAGACTCAATCTAGGCAAAATTGCGAGATTGTTTACTATCAATCATCATCTACCAAGGTAGTGGCCTAAGGATCATGATTGTATTGGTGACTCTTGGTTAGGAAGAGCTTGGAAAGACGATCGAATCTCATCTCCCGCAGGTGCATTTTCTTTGTCAGCTGCCATGCGTGTAATGATGAGGTCCCCTTAAAGGAAAGTAATTATATCGCCACACCTTGGTTGGCTGTCGTTCTGATCCATTATTTAATACTGAATAGCCTGTTCCATTGCTCTCTGTTTCCCTGCCACTATATGCAGGAATTTCACTTTCATTATTTTTTCTTGTTCATTATTCTTAAACACTTCAGATCGGCAACCGATACAGAGTGTTACCAATTTATTCCTGCCTGTTGGTCAATGTTTTTAACTTCTTTACTTTAACTCTGCGTGACTGTTTAGTTATGTACGTCTGTTTGTTGCGTTTTTACCATTAGGGATCCATGTAATGAGTGTTAAATGGTCATCGTTCGAGCAGTTAGAAGAAGATTTTGCACCCTTTTTAAAATAAAACTTTTCCTTAATGAACTTTTTCACGTTATTTAGTTGTGTTGTTCTTTGTTTCCTTCCTTGTGCGTGATCCTCTTTTGCATTGTTTCTTAAGGGACTATCACAATTAACAAAATTTTGGATTTATTATTATTATTTATATTATTTTAACTGTTTTTTTCTACGTTCAATTTAAGACTATATTAATTTAGAATCGTGGTTCGTTTGGTCGCTAGAGTAAATTGTGTGCAACGCGTTGGCAATCTTTGATGTTCTTTTAAACATAGCGTTTCATGAATCATTGTATAATAAAATGTTACTTTTCCGAAATCTATCACGCTCTAAATGTAAAAAATTTTTATTTATTTATTTTGTTTTGTTTATCTTGTTATGATACACATAACACGTTTTCTCGCTATCTGTTTCTTTCATTTTTCTCTACATGTTTTTAACATCAATATAACACCTAGTTTTTTTAAATTTTTTATGTGGGATTTAGTTGCTTGAGTGATTTTTGTGCATCGATTTTGCAATGTCCGCAAAATGTTAAATATGTTCTGGGAATAATTACTTTCTATTGCAGAAAGTATCACTTTATTCAAGGATCAGCTACACCACACCTATCTTCGAAATGTTGGTTTTTTTGTTGCATAGTATATATTTTAAGACTTTTTATTTATATATTTTATTCTTTATGTTAAGATCAATTAAGACCAAATTGACTCGATTACGATGTGTGCTTTGATCGCTTTGGTCATTTTTAACATCGAGGTTCCAAAACTTAAAATACGTTTTGTGAGTAATTGGCTGTTTCTGTGACATTATCAATCTTCATTTTTTAGAATGGGGTTCTCTTGTTATCGTACACATCATCAAATTTTTGTTCAATTTATACTTTGCTATTATATTGTTTGAATTATACTTTGCTATATTACACATTTTGACACTTTTTTTTTAATTTTCTTACTCTTAATTTAAGACCAGAGCTTCTTTGATGCGTTATATGGGTCTATAAAGTGATTTTGGCGTATCCATCAAGCTTGTAATCTTTGAGCAAGTTTGCAAAAATTTAAATACGTTTTGGTACTAATTTCTGTATTTATCAGTTTCTACAGCATCTATTACATCGAATTTCAGGAATCCCCCCCCAATCGTTATGGTGCATTGATAGAGCTAGCAATCTTTGCACAAATTAGTAAAATTTTAAGTGTTTTACTTTTACGAATTGCTGTCTTTTGTCAGTTTCCATAAATTTCTACTACATCAGTTTTTAAAGCAGCAAAGGCTCAGAGGATGGAGCGTTCGCCTTCCAATGAGACGAAACGGGTTCGAATCCCAATCGACATGAATTCCGCATCCGGCTTGCACCGACCACAATGCTGACGTAAAATATCCTCAGTGGTAGACGGATCATGGGTTAGAGTCCCCTTGCCGCCAGGTTAACCGTGGGAGGTTCTCTTAGTCTTTCTCTCCATGTAACGCAAATGCGGGTTAGCTCCATCAAAAAGTCCTCCACGAAAGCAAATTTCTCCCAATACTCGATCCAGGAGTGTCCTTGTCTTCTGGATTGGGTTCAAAATTACAAGGCTACGGAGTTGACCATTAGTAGTCGTAAACTCATAAAATTGGATCGGCTGTTCAACAACGGTTATAATACATCAATTTTTAAGAATCCCCCCCCCCTCTCGTTCTGGTGTATCGATCAAGCTTGCAATCTTTGCACAAGTTTGCAAAATTTTACATACTTTTTGTAATTAATTGATGTCTTTTGTCAGTTTCCATAAATTTCTACTACATCAATTTTCAGAAATCCTTCCCCCCCCCCTCTCGTTATGATGTATCGATCGAGCTTGCAATCTTAGCTAAAGGTTGCAAAATTTTAAAAACTTTTGTTACTAATTGCTATTTTTTGTCAGTTTCCACAGCATCTATTGCATCGATTTTCAGGAATTTTTCCCTCTTATTATGATGTGTCGATCGAGCTTGCAATTTTTGCACAAGTTTGCAAAATTTTACATACTTTGTGTAAATAATTGCTATTTTTTGTCAGTTTCCATGAATTTCTATTACATCAATTTTCAGGAATCCCCCCTCACTCTCGTTATGGTGTATCGATCGCGCTTGCAATCTTAGCTCAAGGTTGCAAAATTTTAAAAACTTTTTGTAATTAATTGCTGTCTTTTGTCAGTTTTTTCACAGCATCTATTACATCGATAATCGGGCACCTGCTTTTTATTATGATAATTTTTTACACACTTTTACTTTATTTTATGCTTATTAGTATACTCATCTGATGCTTCTCCGAGTTTAAATTTTTATTTGACTCCTAATATAATCACAAATGCTACAGCTGGCAATTCCTTTCCTAATTTCTAAAAAGCATCAATTCAACTAAGATGAAAGTAGGATAGCAACTCTAAACTACTTCCTTGTAAAATCGTGAATTAATTCATTTAAAAAAAATTTCTGCAAATAGTTTTTGATGCGCATTTTCTAATGAGTCAAGTGCCTTAGGGAGATGAAGAAATTATCTGTGTGAAAGAGAGCATTGTTTTAAGCTTATTTTTCGTGGGCTGTTTCTCGAACTAATTAAATAAAATAAAAAATATTTATCACCTGAGTTTGGTTGGTGGTCCGTAGGAGTATGTTCATTAATTCAAAATGACTTTATTTATATTTTTTTTATTGTTTTGAATTTGACAAAACTTTCTCTGTAATATTAAAATACTAATTGTTTGTGAGTTTATTTTGTAAACGATCGTATTATTCGGCTATGTGATAGCATTTAAAAGTTAAATGAGTCGAATGAAAATGGAAAAAAGTATGGCCGCTATCTCTATGTCTAGTTTAATAAAACTGAAATAAGATGTTTTCTCAAGAAATTTCATTACTTTCATAACTTCACTCTTAACCTTCTCTCAATAACTAAGCTCTTCAGTTACACTGAAGAAAGATGGGTTTTTCATGTTATTTTTTATGAAAATTGTTGAATAAAAAGTGCACATAATTTAACGGGATGCAAGAGGGTTAAAAAGGGTGACATTCCCTG